TAGACGATATATTTACCTAAATGTATTTATGTAAGATGGTTAGTATTATCTATTCTGATAGTTGACTCGAAAATTATGCGAACAAATTTTTTTGATTGAATCTTTTTCCGTTTGAAAATGTGCCTAAAGTATTTATTTTCATTGAGTATGGGTGTCCTAAAGTTTTTGTCGAAAGAATCTTGTTTCTGATTAATAATTTTTATTCATGAAAAAATGTGTATAACAAGCATAGCACATGAAGGAAGAAAATAAGAGAAAAAAAACAAGTGTACTTTTTATTTTCAATCGATGAGATACATTCTTTGAATGTTTTTATTTGATTTGTCAATTATTTCCGTCGTGTTCATATTTTTCATTCGTAATATGTTGACGATGTATTGTGCTGTAATCGTTATTCCACTAATAAAACTATATTGATTTTGTTCTAATCCAGGTGGGCATAAAAACGGAAAATCTGTTTTGATTATGATATGATCGATAATATTGGGTTGACCAAACAGCCATTTATTAAATAATTTTTGAAGTTCTTCATCATCTTGTAGAATAATTGAGCCATTTAATCCAATAAACGAATTTACAAAATAGTATAAGAAGTTGTTAATAACATTTAAATCACTTTTAGGATTTACACAGTGCCAGTGAATGTTGTGGTTGGGTTTTAAATATTGCTTTAATGCATTCAGCATTGTTGAAAAAGAATTTTCTCTACGACCATGAAGAACGATTGGAATTTGTAGTTCTGCTGCTAATTTAACTTGAAATTCGAACATAGACAATTGAAAATCAAAAGAATATCTGCTTGTATCATCCAGTCCACATTCGCCGATGGCCACTTTCTTTGTATTTAAATTAAATTTATGTTTAAAAATATTCTCCATTTGTTCCAATACACTTTGTGGATTTGTTGGAAGATATTTGGGATGAATTCCATATGTTGTCATAATTTTAGCATTTGAATTTTCGATCTCGTAATTTATGAACCAACGCTGATATTGATGATGATTATCAATTAAAATAATTTTTCTTCCATGAGCAAGTTGCATATTGAAATCATTTTGATGAAATCAATATTTAAAACATAAGTCTATATGGCAATGTCCGTTATACAGTGGTAATGTTAATGGCAAATGGTATTTCTTTTTACATGAACATATGTTGTAATAACTGTTTTCACAAATAGCATTCATTTTTCAAAATAATCTGAAACTAACACAATAAATCGACAACTCGAAAAGAAGAAGAAGAAGAACAACTATTTTATAGATGCACTTTAAACAAACACCCGTGTCTGACATCAGTCCAACGATAAAACAACGTTAAGCATATCCCATTGTCAATTAGCCTGTCAAACAATTAGACCATCATTATCATACAACAAATTAATGATCATCAGCGATCTCCAATTATCAATTATCGTTAACCACAATACACTTGCTAATCTTCGATAGTCACTTTCATTTCATCAAGACTCAAATTCTATGTCTATGCGACATGGTAAATTTCTTTATCCTATCATCTTTAATCTCGATATAATCAAATATGGATAGATAGTTTTGTTTTTGATCATATCAATTAGAATTAATATGAACAACTGATATTTCGATATCATTTCGAGTAAATACGAATAGGAAATTTTGTAAATTTCCATTGAAGTTAATAACAATAGTTAGTTTTTATCATATAAAAAAGGATAATCATTAAAAAAAGTAAAATAAGAACATTTAAGAAATAACAGAAAAAAACCCTTATTAACATAGATCAGTCATATTCATTCAATCTGGCTTGCCCTTCTTACTTATAGTTTCTAAAGATAATGTCAAATGCTTGTATTTGATTTGGTTTTATGTTGTGAGAGGTGCTCCACCTTGACACCAAAGTCGACACCCTCCAAATAGATACAAATAAGTTATCAACATTAATCATTGGTAATGTCATTTGCTTTCGACAATCTCACCTTTCTTATTTGCGTTTTCTCAGATATATCGAATGGAATTTCATTTATTTTTCATCAGTCTTACCATTCGTATTTATATTTTCTTAAACAATATCTAATTTGCAGACTTATTCTGGTTTATGTTTTGAGAAATGTTCCACCTTAACACCAGGGTCGACACCCTCCACATGGGTGAAGGCAAGGGGGAAACAGCGGACTTCAAGACTTCAAGACTTCAAAAGACTTCAACAGACTTCAACCATAGTGACTTCATATTTTCACAAGACTTCTAAAGACTTCTAAAGACTTCATAGGACTGCAAGGGACTTCACAAGACTTCATAGATTTTCATGGGACTTCAGAGGACTTCAAAAGACTTCGTGAGACTTCACAGACTTCGTGAGACTTCACGGACTTCTTGAGACTTCACGGATTTTGTGAGACTTCATAGACTTTGTAGGACTTCTTGAGACTTTATAAGACTTTATCAGACTTTATAAGACTTCGTAAGACTTCATAAAACTTCACAAGACTTCGCTAGACTTCACAAGACTTCAAGAGGCAAATTCCATGCGTATCAAAACACCTTATAGGAATTACACGAAACTTCTACAACATGCAAAAAACAAAACTTATCATATAGAGATTACAAAGGTGTTTCTTGTTTCTGAGAGTTGTTTCTCGCAGTATATCCATATCTAGAATACAGATATGGCAATGACACAAAGCGTTCATGAAATTACAACAGAGAAGATAAACTTTACTGGTACGCGTATATTTGATTCGATTAATCCAGCATTGAAAAACTCCTATTTTCAGGTGCAAATAAATAACAAGACTAAATTTATACACAAGCAAACGGCTTGTTGGTTATTGACCGATAAAGCTAGCCGTTTATCGGCTGATAGACTATCACGAGTAGGGGTGGCACTTTCACTTTCTTTTTACTTTCAAAAAGGAAAGGAAAGGAAAGTTAAAGGAAAGTTAACTTTCCATTCCTAAAAGAAAGGAAAGGAAAGTGAAACCTTTAGGTCTTCAAGTCCTATATAATAAGGGTATCCTTAGGACCTCAAGCCCTATATAATGAGGGCACCCTTAGGCCCTCAAGCCCTATATAATGGGGGTACCCCTAGGTCCTCAGGTCCTATATAATGAGAATACCTACAGGTTCTCTAAGAGTACCATATAGGAGTACCCATAGATCCTCAACGGCTGTTTTATAGAGATTCCCGTTCGATACTCCTATATAATAGCTCTTTAGAACCTATGAGTACCACTGTATAACAGCTCTTCAGGACCCATGTGTACCCATAAATGATAGGACTTGAGGATCTAGCCCAAAAAAAAAGAGCTGATAAGAAAATCCAAAAGAAGGTGAAAGAAAGTAGAAAGAAAGTAAAAGAAAGTAGAAAAAAAGTAAAAAGAAAGTTAAAGAAAGTAAGAGAAAGTAAAAAAAAAGTAAAAAGAAAGTGAAAGAAAGTTTTAAAAAGTATAAATAGGAGAAAAGATAATGTTGAAAAGCAAAATCGCTTAAGGAGGACCCTCCTCAGAAATTCATTTTTGTTTTAGACTATCCAATCTTGATGAAATTTTGAGGAAAGATGTATACCGATTCAGGCACATCACAATAAAAATTCAAGCTCGATACATTTAGCCTATGGGTAGTTAGCTTAAGATTATGGATGTGTCTG